ACTTGAGATTGAGCAGTGCGACCACCGCTCGTGATATTATGGTCAGCTGAGTGTTCTATTGCGTCGCATGGGCAATAGAGAGTGTTTTCTAGAAAGGTAAAGAGTAAAAGAGAGATCTCAGTGGCGACTGGGTCCTTTGATATGAATCGCGATGAAGTATGAGCAGTAATGTTATGTAATGTATTAATCATGATTAGTAGTGTATGTCGCCAGCTATGCTGAGTCATGCGCCAGCTCGAGATAGACACCGAGGTTTCATCAGCTCCGCCGACGCACCTCGTCACTATTTCATAATACTGAGGTAGAAACCTCAGTATAAAAGGAGCCGCCTCATGGAGTCGAGGTCGTCGTCTCTCGGATGCCACCTTAGCCTCCAGGCTACCCTCGACCCTTTGTCTAGGCTATCACCTGCCCTCTCGTCCTGTTCCCCCTTATATCCTCTCTTGTAATTTGCTCATTTAATAAACATATATATACATACTCCTCTATACAGAAGTATCTCTAGATCCCGCTACACATCAGGTATAGGCACGGCCAGCTTATAACTTGATAAGTCCTCGTTTCATCATGGGCGCCGCCACCAATCTCTTGCGCAATGTCGCGCAAGACCGATATAAAAGTGGCTTGATCGAGACAGCCGGGTCGACTTGCTCTTCTCCGCCGTCGTGGAACATCGCCCTGGCCGTATGGCCTCCTCGTCCTGACCCGTTCCCCTTGTTCTATTTATACTGTTACATATATAAGTAAAAAACATATGAAGGCAAGACTAGTGTGTCACAGAAGAACTCCCGTTCCCGCTACACCATCAGATATAGGAGTCATGAACCTATAAACTGATATTTTTTTTTGTCGTTCGCTTTTTCTATAGAAGGCAGACAATGACCGCTAATCATTGTTCTGTATGATCACGACCCTATATTTGAACTTCTGGTCTAAGAGCTAGCCCAAAAGGTAGGGAGATTGTGCAAATTGTGGCTATTGATAATCCAGTTTTGACATATCTACGCCGATATAAACTGTTATATAAGGACTTGATCGCCATAACGACGTCAATTTTAGAGAGCTCTGCTACCACTTTCTCCCTCTCCCGGCACACAGTTTGATCTTCCTCCTGCAACTTGACCTCTATCTTTTCAGATACACTCTTTTCGACTCCCTTGTGTAGGTTATCTTGGAACAGGACTGAAATGCCTGTAACGGCAATCCATTTTCTCAATATCACACCGTTCTAGACTGGCAATTCGGTGTCACTCCAGCAATTTGATCTCTGTATCTTTTCTAGATACACATCGACTCTGCTGTGTAAGTTATTTTGGAACACGACTGAAAATTGCCCCAATCAGTTTCTTAGTATCTTAATCGCTCTAGACTGGCAGTTTGATCTCTCTTCCTTTTTCAGATACACTCACTTCGACTCCGTTGCCTTAGATGTTTCGATTAGATGAAATTTGGGTTAGCGGATAGGAGAAACTGCTTTTGACTCTTCGTATCCCCTCCTGTGACTGATACCTCTAACATGAGCTCACGTCCCGCTGCACCGTGCACCGTCACGTCCCGCCGCCCCAGTTATAGGTCTCGCGAATATATAAGCCGATATGGAGATCCCAATGAGATTCTTCTCGAAGCCTATTTTCCAGGCTAAAACGAAAATTGCTTGTATATATTATTCCCTCACTATCCGCCGATCAGCAGCTGTCCTCGGAGTCAACAATTCACAACGATTGGTCATGTCAGACAGAGCTGGAGCAATAGGAAGGGGCCTATGCAAAGTAATTGTAATAGCACTTGGGACCATTAATAATTAGCAGCCTCTAGCCGGCCTTCGTTGCCAGATCATCACCCAAAGCGAAAATACCGTCGTGGGCGGGAATCCCATGGTTACAATCGTTTCTAATCTTCGTAATCTTTTTAGAAAGTTTTGGGACTATAAAAGCTTACTCTAATGGAGATAACGTCCAGAGTACGTGGTACAGTAAAATCTTTCTTAGGAGCAGCGTCGTACTTTCAGCGCTACATACCATGTTTTTTTCATTTCATCGCCTCAAGTACTACTCTAAACGTTCTACGCCGTTCCATACCCAATACAACACAGCAAACACTTGTGCCACTAGTTGTTTGAGCATCAGAGGTTATAAATCAATCAATAATCAGGCGGTTGCGCCTTTTTCAGGAACTAGCACATATTTTCGGCGATCAATTGTGAAGGTGGCCTACAGAAATCCTTCTGTATAAGTTGTCCTAGACAGATACCGTGGTATGTTTGAATCTTTTTTCAATTTTGCCGCAATGCGCCTCTGAAAACTCTTTGAATAGGCGGTTCAAAGAGTCCACATGCAGCGTATGCCCCGCATACTTTCCAATCTTAGGAACGAAAAGAAAAACGCCCTTATACTAGTCGCTTCCGACAAGACTAGTATTCGTATTCTTCGTATTTCTATAGCATTGTGATCATGTTCGTATATCAGTCGAACCCACTTTGTATAGGCTAATATTCGTATCACCGTTCTATATCAGTCCAAAAAGTATTTGGCATAACTCGGCTCGGTTCTGTCAGTGCCATAGACTTTAACTACAACATGTTATTTTTAGTTTAGATGTCATAAGCTTTATGATATTGCCTTATTTAGCTGTAATTTTACCACATTCTAACAAAGAAATTTGTCTGATTTGTAATAGTAGCCTTTTTGTGTTATTATGAAAGCAGTAGCTATTATCATAGTGTATAAGAATAACACAAAGGTTAACCAATCACGAATGCAACAAATTCATTGAAATTCCAAAAATATGTTAACATTATGACGGTTACGAGTGACACTACGCTTATCCACGTCACCACCCCATTTTCTTTTCCGGCTCGAAGTCGAGCCCTCTTTTCGAAGGTATGGCGATAGCTCCATGGGAGCCAGCCACCTCTTGTACTTCCTAGCTGTTTCTGTTCAATAACGTTTACCATCTGTCTTACCCGCATTACGACACGGCCAACTTAGTGGCACGATGCACCGGGATACGAACTCATTCGCTCCGTTTCTCATCAATCCCTATCTCTCTCCTTCATGACATACAGTACCGCTTGAGAGCTTAATTAAAGCTCGAGGACGAGCTTACTGTATTAACGGAGATGCTGAACCTTGGCTGCCACGAGGCCACCTGTCGATTAAGTTGCGGACGCTACACCGGGCACATATAAAACGTGCTAGCTGGCAACAACTGGGCTGCTGCGGTCTCATCACGATCATACAGCGCCCATTGCAACGGCGAGAGCCGACTTGTCCTACTTCTCCTCAATCCCGTATTCAATGTAGTTTAATATATCAATAATAAATTATGTATATATTCTGCTGTGTCTGTTACCTCTGCACTATCAGTTATATGCCTCACCAACGTATAATTTGATAGAGCTACTTAAGTAACTTGAGACTCTTCGATTCTAGAAGGGTACAAGTGTGTCTTAAACAGGGAAACCATTTTCCATGCATGCTTGCTGTCGTATTTTAGCATTTTTTTGTTTTTGTTTTTTTGTTTCTAATTCGTTTCTGAAATATTTACCTAAGTGCTGATAAGTTACGGCATAAAAACCATCAGGAAAGTGCGAGCAAGTGGTGTAGCGGTAGTGTAAGGGATGGCAGCACGATGCCCTGATAGCACATGTGCGGGTTTGAATCCCGTCCGAAGCCAAAGTTTGTCCATGGCGAGATTCTATGGATGGTCCCCGACTGGCTAGATTTACCTAAGTATTAACTTGTGACCCTCAAGTATTATGTATATAGGGTGCTGTCGTGTCGAAAAATGGACTAGCTAGCATGCAATGAGGGCTTGAAGACTAACTTCGTCCACATCCACAATTAAAGGAGAACGTGTTTGAAGGCGTTCTAGAATCTGCATCATTCACAAGGAGGACAAGTGTTGAACATTCAAATATTTAGTTCTGTCCCCTGGCGACAGCGGATGACAATTTTGGGAATTTTGGCTTTCTGTAATCAGCTCCTTACGGATTGCACATGACCGTAAATTCGTCTAGACAGTACTTCAATACCATTTTCTCATGGAAATAATGTAAAATAATGTAAAATGTCCTATTTGTTTGCTTTTGAGAAGGCTTACGTTTCGCAAGCTTTGCAATTTTTTCAATACTTCCGTTATTTAAAAAAATGTAGCTCAAAATTATAGTGTCCATTTGAGGGAGACCAGTTGGGGATGCGCTTTCATCCTTCGTAGTTTCGAGCCACACAGACTTAATGAAGTGCTTCCAATCTTTGTGTTAACCTTACACGAAAGAAAAAGCTATCCGACATGTTGCTCTTTTCGAAGCCCTTCAGGGTTGTAGTTTCAGAAGGCAGCACACAAAATGCCTACGTGCGTTCCCTAATTTTTAGGGGTGGGGGCAGGCGATGTTGCCATAACGTCTTCTGTAGAAACAGCCTCAGAATTCAGTGGGAAAATATGGAAAATGTCTATATCGTGTCGAATTGATGAGTGCTGATCGTGAATCATCCACGTATGCAATTCGATAGTTCTGCACAACGAAACCTCATTATAACTTTAATTCATAAAAAGAAAAAGATCGAGAAATACATTATGCTGACTAGTAGTGGTCCCTACAGCCACTTGAGCACAACAGTTGCATATGTGTGTCATTTGAAGTGTTCAGTCCTTCTTGACAACGTAGCACACGAATGTCTCGGACACAACGAGACAATGTTCGCGTTCCTCGTTCTCCAGAGGTTCGATACCATCCGTTCCACATGCTACATACCATTCACCAGAACTCAATCGGTTCTTTACACCCTCTGAGACTTTGAGCATCGACGATTCGGGTTCAGTAGTCATGCTCTGAAAAGTGTACTCTATTCACAATACCTTTAGATGGGACCTTTAGACTTTTAGTTGAGCATAATCGAAAGGTGCATGATGAGGTAGTACAGGTAGTGAACTAGTAATCTTTCTTGAATGAAGGTCGCTTCAAGCTCTTGGAACAGTAGTGTTCGAATGAATTTTCTCGTCATCGAAGGTAACCCTGCATACCAGGATCCTAGTGTTTAAGAATTGCTACAGGAGCTCCCGGAACTCAACCATCACCAAGTCGTACATGGGCTTTGTTCAGCAGCCCAGGCTGCCCATTTGAAAGGGCAAAGTGGGTTCAAGTTCAGCAGGTGCAAGGGATGAACATATCTGCCATACGGTACTTCTCGAAATAGTGCTTCCCCAATTGCGACTGTATATGTATGTTGGCATAATTCTTTCCACTTTTGGGTTGACGTTTTAAGCTGTGCAACCGAGACTGTAACAACACTTTATTGGGCTGTCGTTTCGGTGCTTTCGCCATCTTCGGAGCCTCGAAAGACAAGCCATTCGAGAAACCAGACGGTCAAGCATTATTTCAATCTACGGAGGAAGTTCAAAGGTTTTTCGTAGTCCATGCCCTTTGAGATTTCTCTGCATATTGAAATAGTACATGGACGAATTGTTGCTCAAATGGTGTTTGTCTTTCTAGGCTTCGAGGGAGGTGAAAGCACCGAAACGTAAGCCTAGTAGAGTGTTGTCACAGTCTCGGTTCCACAGCTTAAAAAGTCAACCTCATATCTGTCACCCATTCCCATCCTCAGTATTTTCTACGTGGGCGCTATTTCAAGGCTTCCAGTTGGGTAGTCGGTAGATTCTGAGAAAATCAACTCAAGCCAAGGTGCTTTCGAATTATACAAGGATAGTACAAGAGACCTTTCTTAGTGATATTGCCACGCCCTCTCCCCACCAAGACTATTTTCAGCCTGGGCACCCAGACTGTAACAGGGGAACCCTTCAAGCCCTTTGGTGGGGTATCTTCTACCCGAGTATCGCGCCGCACTCGATCGCGCAATGAAGGGAAATTCTGAATACCCAGTAGAAGGATACGGTAGCCGCCACCAAACCAATGCCGCCAAGGGAAAAGGACCGCCAACCAAGGTTTCCTAACAAGATCATAGAAGTTGGAAGCCGTTTGAGTTGGCAGGGTTCAATTCATAAAGTTAAATGGTTCCCCCAAGCTCGGAATAAGCGAGGTCGCCTTACAGAAGTATCAGTAGCCACCCAGGTATCCGTCAGCACATTGCTAATTTCCCGAGGAATAGCGCCAATACAGCTTTCTTGGCTTGCTGAAGAGGACATACCTGTCGCATGATCTTTCTCAGTCGTAGCGAGTTACAGTTCTTGTCCAACGCGCCTTTGTCGGTCTTCGAGAATCGACGCAGTCGGAAACCTTGGCCACCATCGTCTTCTTCACCGGCAGCGCCACCTGCAGCACCACCACCCGTGGCTTGATCGTAATTACTTCCAGCTCCGACGCTAGATGGTGCCGCTTCTTCCTCTGCAGGAGCAGTTTCCTCAGCTGCGCCGGCAGACTGGAAAGTAATAATGTCAGATTATGATATAGGCCAGAATTCAAATATGAAAACGTGACACACCTGTCCTTCACCGTATGGCGCTCCTCCGCTTGGTGCTGGTGCAGGTGCTGGCTCAGCTGGCTCTGGTGGTGGGGGTGGAGGTGGAATTGCGGGTGCTGGAGGTGGAGCAGCTCCTCCTTCATTATAGTTTCCTCCTCCGCCTCCACCTGAATAGGTTGGTCCTCCGCCACCTCCACCTGAATAGCTTGGCCCGCCGCCGCCTCCTCCAGAATAGCTTGGTCCTCCACCGCCTCCTGCATAGCTTGGTCCTCCACCGCCTCCTGCATAACCTCCCTTAGCATAGCTTTGTCCTCCACCGACTGGTCCTGCATAGCCGCCGCCTCCACCACCGCCTGCATAACCTCCTTTAGCATAACTTTGTCCTCCACCGACTGGTCCTGCATAAGAGGGAGCTGGTCCTGCATAAGAAGGAGCTGGTCCTGCATAAGAAGGAGCTGGTCCAGCGTAGCCGCCGCCGCCGCCTCCTGAAAATTTCCATGTTTCAATGTTTGTTCAGACAACACCGGTGCTTTTCCATATTCTTTTTTTATGGATCAAAATGATGAATTATTGATTAATCGGAAATTAAGAGCTTTGCATAGTTTTGTTGAAGCAAACTATTGGGATATTAACCAACAATTGCCACTGCCGAACTGGGCTTTGGACCAGAAAGGTACATGCAAACAACAAACAGCCGATAGTCACACAAACTAAGCCTACTGACCGAAAGCGTTTGCGAGAGATGGACCAAGATTCGGTGACAAGAACTGTTCAGAGCATTGCTACATGCTCTCAAATGTCAAAGAAAAGTTTTTCACAAAGAACAGTATAAATTTTAAAATTTTTAAGGGAAACCCCTTCCCTTTCCCGTATTTACACTACCTTTTCATAAAGATAATATATGCAAAACAACGAATAGAATTAGATCTTTTATCGCTATTTCTACAACTTGATCAATAAAATTCTATCGAATCCTAACCGGCGTAAGCTCCGCCACCGCCACCAGGAGCGGCATAACCGGCAGAAGGATAAGCGCCACCTCCTCCACCAACTGCATAACCTGAACGTTAAGTCATATTAGTGAATGGTTAGTATTAGATACTATAGGGATTAAAAAGTTATGAAAATTAGTAAGTAACTCGCCTGCTGGAGCTGCGTAACTTGGTGGTGGTGCTGCATAACTTGGTGGTGGAGCTGCATAACTTGGTGGTGGTGGTGGGAGTGCGTATCCTCCTCCACCTCCTCCACCTCCATGTCCTCCTCCGCATCCTCCGCCGCCGCCTCCGCCACAGCCTCCGCCTCCACCTCCGCATCCTCCGCCGCAGCCTCCGCCTCCACCTCCGCATCCTCCGCCGCAGCCTCCGCCTCCACCTCCGCATCCTCCGCCGCAGCCTCCGCCTCCACCTCCGCATCCTCCGCCGCAGCCTCCGCCTCCACCTCCGCATCCTCCGCCGCAGCCTCCGCCTCCACCTCCGCATCCTCCGCCGCAGCCTCCGCCTCCACCTCCGCATCCTCCACCGCAGCCTCCGCCTCCACCTCCGCATCCTCCGCCGCAGCCTCCGCCTCCACCTCCGCATCCTCCTCCGCATCCTCCGCCACATCCGCCTCCGCCTCCACCGCATCCTCCTCCGCATCCTCCACCGCCTCCACCACATCCTCCTCCACATCCTCCCCCTCCGCCTCCACCACATCCTCCGCCACCGCCTCCACCACATCCTCCTCCGCATGGCTCAGCTTGAGGTGCTGGCTGAGAACAGCAGCAGCAACAACAACAGCATTTCTGAGGCGGTGGAGGTGGTGGTGGTGCTGCTCGCTGCTCGCAGCAACAGCAACAGCATGGTGGGGGACAACATGATTGTTGTACTGGGGGAGGAGCAGGAGGAGGGCAGCATGGCTGAGGAGGGGGACAACAAGGAGGGGGACAACAAGGAGGGGGGCAGCAAGGAGGTGGGCAACACGGCTTTGGGCAGCATTCTCCTCCTCCGCCTGACATTGGAAATAGGAATGAGTTGATCGGAACTGCTACAAATAGTAGCAACGTGAGGTGAAGGTACAACATACCCTGAAATAACCGGTGTTAATTCTAAATTGAACAAATGAATGTTATTAGGTAGCAAATACAAGTTGGATAACATCAAGGGCGAAAAACAATGTGGTTAAGTTAATGTCTAGCCTGTAATTGTTGAAGAATAAGGGCGCAAACTGTGCGTAGTACCCAAAAGCTCAATAAATTAAATGCTCCCTAATTCCATAGTGAAATGATAAATACGAAAAGGATATTTGTCAAACAAAGAAGTCAAGAAGGATGCGGGTAAAAGCCGGTAGGAAGCCATTTGAGAGCCACTAAGAGAGATGGTAATGAAGGAATGATATCCTGAAATGGAATAGCGATTGGAAGCGCTGATAAGTGTTTGTCTGACTATGCGGATGTCTTTTATACTAGTAAGAAAACTGGCTTCGCTTTGGGCCCCCGTTATCGCTATGTCCCCCACGCCCATCTGGTTTCGGCGCAATCTCATGCTAATAAGGCTTGTCACAATTTGTATTACTCCCAGGTGTTGAAAAATTGAGAGCAAAGTGGTTCGCGGTGAACCCTGAAGGATATCTCCCCGAAGTTGAAGTGAAGATCGAAATCGAGGCAAAACAAGACATTCAAATCCTAGAAGAAGCCTTCAAGAACTCTCTTGTATGTTGAGAGTTTGTTTGAACGATTTCCACGAAAATTTCCACAGATTCCCACAGACTAAACTCGAGCCCCGCATGCCACTCGATCAGCCACTCTTCATTTTCAAAGTCTGAATTTCTGGCTATCTTCTGAATTAAGGAAAAAACAATTCGAAGCTGCCGGGGCAGGGGGGGGGGGGTGTTCTTTATAGCACACAGCTGATCAGTTCATACACTTCCTGACAGCAATCGGATGCAAGATTATTCGGAAGATTTGATCGAAAGGTCGAATTGCTGTCAACCTAATATCATTACCTGGAACTGCTCAGAAGAGACACGTTCGGTTTAGAGTGACTAGCCTATGATGGCTATGCATAAATATACATGCTGCACATTAATGGTAAAGCTGATTCGAGGAGATTTCGGTGTAGGATCCATCGAATCCCCCTGAAATAACCAAATGAGTTCGAAATATGAATCAGGACATAAGGCTTGACTTGAATACTGTAACAATGGCACTGCTGGCCCATCCCTTCACTCGTAGTTTGTTTCTTTCTTATGATTCAACTCTTTGGCTTTGTCCTGGTGAAATGTCGTTGCTCAAGCAGCTTCCTTGAACCTATATTACACAATAACAAGTACGCTACACCCAATTGCCTACATCATGAACGTGCCTTAAATTTTAGTGGAATCTGACTAGGCTGGCTCTACCAGCGAAGGTTCTCTGTGAAGCAGAGGAATGCTTGACGACAACATTATCCACACTGGAACTAGTCCAATAACATGGAAAACACAATAATCAGACAACCTCATCGAACTTCCTGAAGTTACGCCATTGGGATCTCTGGAAGTGTTTCCGAATAAACACTCACAGCGTATCACAGAAGTTTTCATTACAGAATTTGCATTGGGTTAATTGTTCGAGCGAACGCGACTTCCACGGTTCTTACCCCGTTCCGAGGCACAGGTATACGGTTTCAGGTTTTGCCGGGTGTGAATGGGACACTAGGAATTAGGAAGTGTTGACATTCTCAGTTAACTTCTAAATTTTCCGACTCAATCTGCTATGGCCGAACAAGCCTTCGCATTTTCAACCTTTCTGCTGAGCTTCAATAAACCCTTCCAGATTGAGCCAGAGAGAATTATCCAGAAGTTTTTGAATTTAGCGTTTCCTGGCTTGAAAAATCAACTTCCACCTAGTGCGTTGTGAAAGCATTTTCGGGTTTTCGAGAAGTCGAAATTTCTTGAAATTGTCCTTATTTCCTCCTAAGTTTCAGTTTTTAGCTTAGCACTGTTTACCCAAACTGGAATATGGTAGGGCAGATGGGGCCAAATTAAGGTCACATCCAGATCATTCCAGAAAGAGGTGTCATCATTTACATGGTCTCAATGTTTGGTGTTGGAATGTGTGACATTAGTGTCTACCGGTTTGCATAGACTAATCGCATGACTGATCCGTTCGATCTAGGCAACGGTGTTGTTCAGAAGTGAAACGAGTAGGTACGCTAACACTATCTCTACAGCTCGCTTTCATTTCTTGGGGAACCGGATGGAGATGTTGTTGTTGTGGAAAGATATGAGGTGTGACGACTTGTTGGACTACTTTCATAACATCTGGCCAGTATGGGTTGCGTTTGATCCAGCAGTCGATCGCTTTCTCTTTGAAGGTTCACAGTTGGGAAAGGAAATGGTATGAGTTTCGATTTGATGCAGTTTGTCTAATTTTTGCAGCCGTTAATGGAATGGCTGGCCTTGTGACGACAATGGCAGCAGTTGGAGTTTTAGAATGAGAATTTTTCTAAGGTCACTGAGACTTTCTATATTTCACAGAGGCCCAGGCAACTTTTCCTCTTAGAGTTTCTTGTCCTTTCATCAATTCTTTTCAAGCATCAAGCAAGTATGTTTTTTGAATAGACTACCCTTGTGAAGACATTCGGATTTATGTGATGAGTTAGGCGTGACTCATTAGTTGGGGTTCTTTTGATCAGGGCCAGTATTTCTACCCGAATTGTTACGGTGAGCAGCAGTGTTTTAATTACCGTAACCGTCACCTGAAAATCAACTGCTCCCTTTCACAAGTGGTGAGCTCTGCAAGCTGTTCGGGTGGAAGAACTCATGCTCTGGATTACTCTTTGTACTTAGCCTAGTCCCATATTTGCCTTGCACTGTTTGAAGAAATTCTTGGCCTTGGCTTTTTTTGCTATTTCAACAGAGCTTAATTAACCGTAATATAATAATAATAATAATAATAATTCAACGTAATAATAATAACAACTCAACAAAATACTTAATTAATCATATCCTCGGGGTTGCAATGAAGAGTATGGTCGCAGAAAGTTAATAAAGAAAGTGCGATAATCAAGCGATTCATCAACAACATTGCGGTTAAAGCTAATGGATGGAATCGCGTTGATGGTTAGGAAGCCGGGCTTTCGTTTTCTCTTTACTCTAATTTCCTATGCCGGTCGTTTTTCACAGCCCGGAATTGAACAGCGGTAACTTGACCGCAGAGGTCAGTTCATTGAACCAAGTATTTTACCAAGTTCACGTTCACGGTATCTGAGCTGCTTCGCCCCGTACATGGTCTTGTTCCTGTTACAGACATAGGTGAAATGGAAGAAACCTACAAATTCATTATTCAGTACTTCAAGAGATTTCGAATCGATGGCTTTCTGAACAGGTGGTTCAATAATAATTTGTAAGACTTTGTAAGATTAAAAATGGCGTATAATTTATGTGATTTTCCTACATTTGACAAGGTGTCTTACATGTCCGACCTGCCAGAATTTCGGAAGCTCTAAAATGCTTATAATGCTTCACGTAGGAATCTCTGTTGTATTCAATGTTTCGCTGCTCGCGAATGGATCTTCTCCTAACGAGAGTGTGTGGGCTATTCTACCCAAGTGACGAGCTGCGTTTGGTGCATTCGATTGCGCGCATAGCGCTGTAAACGGGAAGATTACGGTGACTAATGCAAAACCCCTAGCACTTGCGGGGGGGATTGGAGGAACAGATACCGTCACTCCTGATCAGGCGATTTCAAAGGGCGTTAATAACCCTTGGTCTAAACAAGAGCTATTCGCAAACCTTTTCAGGTAAAGTAGAAGCACCCGCCTCCATTATACGGCGATGAAACCTCCTGAAAAAGTAGGTCTCTACAGTCGCTGATTCATTTGGAAGGAAAAAAAGACTCGGTAAAATATCATGATCACTTTGACGCAATAAAGCTTACTGTTGAAAAGATCATGAGGAGAACGAGCGCATTACGTCGACTAAGAAAGAACCAGTTTCCTAACCATTCGTCCACTTTACCAACGATAGACTGCAAGTGGCTTTTCAACATGGTCATCGAGGGACCGACTTTTTGAATCTCTTTTGAGAATTCCCTCAGAACTTTGCCAAAACTTTTTTGCTGGTCAGGTTTTGTGATACTTTTATCGGGGTAAACTCGAGAAGTGCACGACGAGGATCTCGACGGCTTCGAGGCCAAGTTCACGATAATTTCGAGGTGGTTCGAAAGTATCCTCGAATTCAAAAGCGAACTTCTAATGAAAATAGAAGTTGCATGTGATAGTCATGATGTAAACTACATGGAAGGGACATTCGGACAAGATTTCAGTTGTTGCAGTAGCGTAAACAGTTAGCTGTATTGTGGTAAAAATGCACAAAATCGCCTATCACTGTCTTCATGGGTCACGGCTAGTTCTTCGGATTTTCGGCATGGATGTTTTTTGTGAATAATGCAGTCTTCACTGCGTCGTTAAGAATCGTTCAGTTGTGGGTGTGGCCTACTTCTATCTCTGGGTTCTTATAACGCCCTATCTAGGCCGTTTCCCTACCTGACAGCGCCACTTGCGTTATACGAAGGGCCAAAGATTTGTCCCAGAAGAATAAAAAAAAACCAAAACCAAACAAAAACCATTCTCATTGTCAACCGCATCTTTAAGAAGTAGTTCAAAGCCTGCTCGCGATGGCTGCTTTCATAGTGCGCCGGTCGGCCGAGCTAGTGCTGGGAGGGAGGTCGCGTCGACCTACCGTCTGCCTCCCTCCTCCCCCTTAGCACTACCTCGGCCGCCAAGCCGGCACGCCGGCGGACTATGAAAGCAGCAGATAAGGGAAGCGGGATCTGGTATTCGAGGATTAATGCCAGAATGACCTTTAGAAACCCTCTTTTCAGGAGAGTTTCGAGGGGCTGTACGAGTTTCAGGGCTTGTTCTCTCGTCTATGCTGGAGCTTTCCGGGCAGAGACGCAAACTTAGCCTTGTACTCACACAAGAGCGGAGCTTGAAGCTGTGGAGACGCTTTGACTTTGATTTTGAGCCTAATAACCTTATTTCCTCTTTTTTTCGTGTCATAACCTTCCCCACAACCTGAACCCTTTCAACTGGTACCTCC